ATTGCAATTTAAAAAGCTACAGATGTGGGAAATATTTAATTGGCATTTTAACCCGTGTGTGTCACCTTGTGTGTCTGTACCAAGGCCAAACATTCCAGGGGGCGGAGACTTCTGATCATGGCTATTTGTGTGATATCTGTTATTAGGATTTAAAAAGGAACCAAACAATTATGTGACAATAAATGGCTTCATATGATCACTATCCTTAACCACTTCCAGTCCGGACACTTTTACTCCCTTCCTGTCCAGGGCAATTTTCAGCTTTCAGCGCTATCACACTTTGAATGACAATTGCGCGGTCACGCAACACTGTACCCAAATTAATTTTTTACCATTTTTTTGAGACAGATAAAGCTTTATTTTGGTGGTATTTATTCACCACTGGGATTTTATTTTTTTTGCTATGTAAATGAAAAACTCCAAAAATTTGGAAAAAAAGTGTTTTTTTTTAAATAAAATTTTGCAAATAAATATTTCATCATAAATCTTTGCCAAAATGTATTCCGTCATCTTTTTGGTAAAAAAAAAAAAAATCCAAATTAGTTTATAACCAAAAATTATAATTTTTAAATATTTTTTTTTACATTTTATTTTTTTATATTATTTTTTACATACTGTCACCCTAGCAGTACAGTGTCACCATGGTGACACTGTACTACTTGTGGGGGGTGATGAAGATTTTTTTTTACACTGATTGCTTTTACACCCATATAGGATGTAAAAGCAACCATTTCTCTTTCTCTCTGTGTGCATTCTTGCAGTCATTGAGAAGTACTGAGTGAGCTGTGATTGGTCACAGCTTGTCACATGGTACAAGGCTGTTGTGAATAGCCTTGTACCATGTGACCTCTGTGATCATTCACAGATTTTACACGTAGTAAGCAATGTCACAAGTGACATCTTGCTTACTACTTTGCATGTGATCACTGATTGGGCAATCAGTGATCACATGATCGGGACCTCGTACAGAGGTCCCGTCCGCCGATCGGTGTTTCACTGTGTCCGGAGGACACAGCGGGCACCGGATCGTGGTGCTGCGCGCTCCAAGGGAGCGCGCACAAGCAGGGTGCGGGGAGGCCGTTTATGAACGGCCACCCGACCCTGCACTGCCACCGTCTGGCCGTTTATATGCAACGGCTGGTCGGGAAGTGGTTAAAGTTTTTTTTTGCAATGATCAGTCTTATTTTCAATATCAATGCCAACATTTCACAATTTCTGCCAGGGGATGCAAACTTTTGAGCAAAACTGTATATCTGGTCATGGACACATAGGTACCTTACTATATGTCGATCTTTTGTAGAGCATTAAGCACCTGGGCTGTAAGATCACTAGAGGTTTCTCGCTTGACATGTAACTAGGGAGTGTTGCAGAGGGTCACCTACTATGTCTCACTCTCAATGCCGACATCGCATCCAAAATGGTGGCACCCAACAGCAGTCGAAAGGGCTTTTGGATGTCTACATAAGGAAGATCTTACACACAAAATATGTTAAATGCACATATCTTATGGGGAGATTGTTGTTGAAGTTAATGGTTTGGTGACGGGGTCCCTTTAAAGCTGAAATTTAGGTATGGTAATTTTTACATAGTCACACTGGTCCAGCTTGCACCAACATAACATGCCTGTGGTATCCCTGTGGATGTCTGAAATCACTGCAGTAGACTCCAATGGTATCTACTGGCTTCTGGATCCTGTGCTGAATGGCTGCCATGCTGTTTACGGAACAAAAGAGATTGCTTGCTCAGAGTGGGTGCCATTTAGTGCACACTCTGCATTTCCTCAATGAATGTAAACTGTTCTCCAACTAGACAAGGTAGAGATTTCGACTTCACCACTCCACCTCCCTACCTGATCCAAGAGAACGCTGTGTATTCATTGGAAAAAATGCAAAGTGCTCCCTGAATGACACCTGTGCCAAGCAAGCCGAGATCAGAGTAGCAGTGCCTACTGCAATGATTTCCAGCTTCTACCGGAATCCCACAGATATGGCACATATATATTTACATTGGTCTGAGCTGTACCAATGCCATAATGTACTGAGCGACGCATGAGTGGCTTAGCGTAGATTACCGTATTTTTCTCGCTCCATAAGACGCACCCCCCCACAAAATTGGGGGGAAAATGTCTGTGCGTCTTATGGACTGAATATGGATCAGCCGGTCCAGTATTCCCCCCCCGTCACAGCCGTGTTAGAATACCGGCTGGCGCTCGGCTCTTCTGTGCAGCAAAACCTGCAGACCTCCAGTGGTCCTACCTGTTCCTCGGTCCAGTGGTGTCCTCTCCCTTCTTCTCTCCCAGGCATCTTTCGTGTGGGCACCTGGCTGTGCCAGCTTGTGGCTTCACAGCCGGATGCCCACTGCGTATGCACGAGAAGCGCTGCGCTTTGTGAATGGCTCCGTAGTCTTCTGGGACCTGACGTGTCCCAGAAGACAACAGGGAGAAAAGGGGAAGGACAACTCTGTGTAAGTGGGAGCGGGTATCTGTCCACCCCCCCTCCGCTCCCCAAAAGGTCCCAGGTCTCCGGTCATCCCCTGTATCGTCCCGGTCTCTGTCATCCCCTGTACTGCGTCCGCGGTCTCTGGTCATCCCCTGTACTGCGCGTCTCCGCGGTCTCCGGTCATCCCCTGTACTGTGTCCGCGGTCCCGGTCATCTCCTGTACTATGTCCGCGGGTCTCCGGTCATCTCCTGTACTGCGTCCGCGGTCTCTGGTCATCCCCTGTACTATGTCTGCGGTCTCCGGTCATCTCCTGTACTATGTCTGCAGTCCCCGGTCATCTCCTGTACTGTGTCCGCAGTCTCTGGTCATCTCCTGTACTGTGTCCGCAGTCTCTGGTCACCCCCTGTACTGTGTCCGCAGTCTCTGGTCATCTCCTGTAGTGTGTCCGCAGTCTCTGGTCTCTACTGTGTCATCTCCTGTACTGTGTCCGCAGTCTCTGGTCATCCCCTGTACTGTGTCCGCAGTCTCTGGTCATCTCCTGTATGGTGTCCGCAGTCTCTGGTCATCTCCTGTACTATGTCTGCAGTCTCTGGTCATCTCCTGTACTATGTCTGCAGTCTCTGTGTCACGGTCCTGGTACTCCTGTACTGTGTCCGCAGTCTCTGGTCATCTCCTGTACTATGTCTGCAGTCCGTTGGTTCAGAATATTTTTTTTTCTTGTTTTCCTCCTCTAAAACCTAGGCGCGTCTTATAGAGCAAAAAATACAGCACTGACAGGCCCAGAAAAGTATTTATGACAGAAGAGACAACTAGAATTTCTTCTGTCATAAAGAACCTGCCTGTCAGCAGTTTAAAAAAAAAATTGATTTTAAAACGGAACTACTTTAATGGAAGGGGAAGTTCTGCTTTATGCCCTCCTCCTTTTACACTTTTTTTTTTAGTTGGTGCCTGGTTTTGACAGGTACCTGCTCCCACTTGCAGTAGGATCGCCGCAGCGATTCCATCAAAGTTATCCTCCCTTCCCCCTGCTGCCTACACATCATAGGTACTAGAGAGGCTGCAGTATGATTCATAAAGTGTAGCGCATCTCGCACATGTGAAATGGGAAGCCGCCTGTGAAGCACCAAGGAGTCACAGCGTCTTCCCACCATAAACATGCTGGTCCTTCGCCAGGGATCCGAAGACCGGCGAAGGACCAGCATGGGTGAGGACGGCACTGGACCCTGGACAGGCAAGGTACCAGCAGCTATAGTAATTGTAGTTGCTGCCTTTTATTTCAGACTTAAGCCCATCCTTAACCACTTCCATTCCGGACACTTTCACCCCCTTCCTGTCCAGGCCAATTTTCAGCTTTCAGCGCTATCACACTTTGAATGACAATTGCGCGGTCATGCAACACTGTACCCACATGAATTTTTTAGCATTTTTTTTTGAGACAGATAAAGCTTTATCTTGGTGGTATTTATTCACCACTGGGATTTTTATTTTTTTGCTATATAAATGAAAAAGTCCAAAAATGTTTTTTTAAAAAAGTGTTTTTCTGATAAAATTTAGCAAATAAAAATCTTTCTTCATAAATCTTGGCCAAAATGTATTTGGTTATCTTTTTTAATAAAAAAAAATAAAAATAATCCAAACTAGTTTCTAACCAAAAATTATAATTTTTCAAAATTTTTGTTTAAAAAAAAAAAAAAAAAAAAAACAAATAATATAAAAATGTAAGCATAGTGTCACCATAGTGACACTGTAGTACTTGTGGGAGGTGATGATTTTTTTTTTTTTTTTACACAGATTGCTTTTAGATCATACAGGCTGTAAAAGCAATCATTTCTCCTTTTCTCTGGCTACATTCCTGCAGCCATTGAGAAATACTGTGTGAGCGGTGATTGGTCACAGCTTGTCACATGGTACAAAGCTGTTGTGAATATCCTTGTACCATGTGACCTCTGTGACCATTCACAGAATTCACTAGTAGTAAGCAATGACGTCAGGAAGTGACATTTTGCGTACTACTATTCATATGATCACTGATTGGCCAATCAGTGATCACATGATCGGGACCTCACACAGAGGTCCCCATACAGCAATCGGTGTTCTGCTGTGTCCTCCCAGGGTGCAAGCACAGTCTGTAAAAGTGAGCGCCGTTTATGAACGGCAACCCGCTCCTGCACTGCTCCCATCCGGCCGTTTATGTACATGGGACGGACGGGAAGTGGTTAAAGGTAAAAGTGGAGGTTTACATACTGTATATGTTCAGATGCTTTGCCTCCCAAACCTACTGACTTTTTTTGAAGAATTATAAGTGACCCTCTGCACATGATTTGCTTCAAAACGTAAAGCCTGCATAGCAGGACTGCTAAAAAGGCAAAAATATTTGCGTTAACATTTTTTCCAATAGAAGGCTACTTGTTACCAGTAAAGAAATATGCATATCTGGAGATTAAATGAGTGGAAACACTTACATTAAATGAACCTCAACTATTTACCTATAAAAATGACAACACATTAAAGCAAGGATATCACAATGATGCAAAATTGTCACAAATATACTTGTTTAGTACCTTGATTAGATATTTCTCCCATCTGTCAAAAGTAACAGACTTCCCGATCTTCCGCATCAGTTTTAGATGAAGTTCAACCAGGACTCTGGACACTGAAAAAAGAAAGAGCAAATAATAATTCCATTAGATCGGAGCCAGCCATGTACGCAACATAGTCCAACAATCTGTCCAGTAATTAAAGTGTCACTAAACCCAGGACCCCGCATTCACTATATCTGGTCTCCCAGGACCCCGCATTCACTATATCTGGTCTCCCAGGACCCCGCATTCACTATATCTGGTCTCCCAGGACCCCGCATTCACTATATCTGGTCTCCCAGGACCCCGCATTCACTATATCTGGTCTCCCAGGACCCTGCATTCACTATATCTGGTCTCCCAGGACCTCGCATTCACTATATCTGGTCTCCCAGGACCCCGCATTCACTATATCTGGTCTCCCAGGACCCCGCATTCACTATATCTGGTCTCCCAGGACCCCGCATTCACTATATCTAATCTCCCAGGACCTCGCATTCACTATATCTGGTCTCACAGGACCCCGCATTCACTATATCTGGTCTCCCAGGATCCTGCATTCACTATATCTGGTCTCCCAGGACCCCGCATTCACTATATCTGGTCTCCCAGGACCCTGCATTCACTATATCTGATCTCCCAGGACCCCGCATTCACTATATCTGATCTCCCAGGACCCCGCATTCACTATATCTGGTCTCCCAGGACCCCGCATTCACTATATCTGGTCTCCCAGGACCCCGCATTCACTATATCTAATCTCCCAGGACCCTGCATTCACTATATCTGGTCTCCCACAGTACACACAACATGGAAAAGCAATTATTTTAGTAAATATAAACTGCTAAATCCAGCAGATTTTAGCTCTGTTCCTGTGAGCTGTGTGGAGGGGGGGGGGGGTCCACTTCCCTCCAATCAGCTCTGAGAGCTCTCCTCACTGATGTACCTTCAGCTCCTTGCTCACTGATTTTCAGAGCTGAACGATGCTGTGTAAATTGTGAACTGTGAATGAATGTAGGCGAAAGACGGCTACAGATAAACAGGTACAACTTATGAAGGTGGATTTGTTTAATCTCTGTGTGTCACCTGAGGCCTGTCACTTCACTGGATATATGCGAGGATTTACAATCACTCTAAATCAGAGAGAGAAGCCTAGGGTGACAAGACGACTTCTCCATAGATACAGTACAGTCCATTTTGCTACTACAGTGATCATCGCCGGTTTCTATGTCTGGTGCTGACAGGATGTTGCTTACTAGGATACCATTCTAAAAATTCCTTCTATTTTTCTCAGTGAATACGCAGTATTCGCTGACTGGATGAGGTGGCGATCATGACATCATAACCCCGCCTCTCTCTACCTAGTCCAATCAGAGAACAATTTGCATTCACTGAAAAAAAGAAACAAAAAAACAAGGCATTCTGTGAATGGCACCTGTTCTGCTCCAGTGACACCCTAGTGACCAGCCAGGTATGGTATATGTATACTTACACTAGTCTAAGCTGGATCAACGTAAGCACAAAAAAGCCATACCTGGGATTCAGCTTTAAAGCGGTTGTAAAGTGAGAAGATTTTTTTATATGCATTAAGGTAAAAAAAAACCCCAACCACCCTTATAGTTTCCTGATGCCGATCTCGATCCAGCGATGTGCATGAGAGCAGCGGCGTTCTCTGCTCTCTCTCCCCTCATAGGCTCCAAGACAGCAGCGGGAGCCACTGGCTCCTTTTGCTGATAATCAGCCAGTGAGGGGGGAGCTGGGGCGAAGCCAAGCCATGCTGTGCATCTATGGACACACATAGCGTGGCTCAGGAGCAAGCCCGCACGCGTGCCCCTATAGCAAGCCACTTGCACTCAAGCAAGGGGGGTGGGGGGGAGGAATGCTGGTGAGGGACCCAAGAAGAGGAAAATCGGGGGCTACTCTGTGCAAACCCATTACACAGAGCAGGTAAGAAGAACATGCGCATTATTTTTTTAACCACTTTAAAGAGTATATTAACAAACTTTTCAATCATGGATTGCCACCTCTCAATGTCACTATAGGACCTCACACGGTGAGCAAAAGTATGGGCAGCACAGTGGCTAAATGGTTAGCACTTCTGCCTGGCAGTACTCGGGTCGTTGGTTCGATTCCCAACCACGGCACCACCTGCCTGGAGTTTGCATGTTCTCCCTGTGCCTGCGTGGGTTTCTTCCGGGTACACCGGTTTCCTCCCACACTCCAAAGACATGCTGGTAGGTGAATTGGCTCCTGTATAAATTGTCCCTAGTATGTGTATGCATGAATGTGAGTCAGGGACCTTAGATTGTACACCCCTTGAGGGTTATGGACTGATGTGAATGTACAATATATATGTAAAGTGCTGCGTAAATTGATGGCACTATAGAAGTACCTGAAATAAAATAAATACATTTCCTAATCCTCCCCTAAATTCCAACAGCAACCGTACATTTTCCGCATGAAAGTCGGTGTCTCGGCAATGGAATTTAAAAACACTCGACCTCCGGAAGCTTTTACCCTCTTCATGAGCACGCCATTTGTTCGCTATTCAGCGCTGCGCTACTTTAATTGGCAATTGCACAGTCATGCAACACTGTACTCAAATTAAATTTATGTCATTTTTTATTCACACAAATAGCGCTTTGGTGGTATTTGATCGCCACTGGGTTTTTTATTTTTTACTATGTAAATGAAAAGAGACCACCCCAAATATTTTCTACTTTCAGTTGTAAAACATATACAATTAAAAAAAAAAAATCAAATTTCTTCATAAATGTATTCTGCTACATGTCTTTGGTAAAAAAAAATCCCAATAAGTGTATCTTCATTGGTTGGTGTGAAGGTTATAGCGTCTACAAACTATGGGATATATATTTGAAAATTGGTCAGTCCTGATGTACTGATCTCATTTCTTGAGGCCCTAAAAGGTCAGGACAGTACAAATATCTCACAAATAACCCCTTTTTTTGAAAAGTAGATAGTCTGAGGCATTTAGTAAGAGGCATGGCAAATGTTTTGTAAGTTGTAATTTTTTTGTCACTATTTTTTTTTTTTTAAATGAATAAAATAGGATTTTTTCCCCACAAATTTCTCTTTACATATCACCAGTGCAGCGTCATCATATGGTGTGGCGATGATCAGGGACACTGACTGGTGACAGTATGTTAAAAAAAATGTTAACAAAAATTTAATAACATTTTTGTATTTTCCTTTTTTCCTTTATTTCCTATTTTTTTTTTTTTTTTTAATACTTTCATCAGAGTAGTTCACTGCCACCATAGTAACACTGTACTACTCTTGGGGGGTGATCACAGATTTTTTTTTATGATCACTGTAACAGCAACGTTTTTTTGAACTGTCATGAATGGGTCACATTCATAACAGCTGTGATTACTAGTGATCTGTGATTGGCTACAGTTAATCACATGGTACAGGGTGCTGTGGCCCAGGTACCATGTGATAGCTGTGGGCCAATCACAGTATCACTTTTTTATTATTATTATACAGTATTTATATAGCGCCAAAAAATTTGCTCAGCGCTGTACATTATAGTGGGGGATAGTACATGAGACAATACAGTAATATATTACTGCTCTTTGGAGCTTACAAGCTTACTTTATAGGAAGCACAGCTGTTTTGAACGACATTCATTCATAACAGCTTTGTTGCCACTGTGATCATGTGATCGCATAGCAGGAGCAGCGCGCCGCATGCCCTTAACCCAAATAGGCCGGATGGCACTTGATCCAGACTGCCCACCCACAGTAAATGTACTATGGGTGGGCGGCAAAAGATTAAATTACAAGCATCAGCATTTTATAGTTACATCAATCCAGCTTGAACCAATGTAATTATGTACAGTCAGGTCCATAAATATTGGGGCATCAACACAATTCTAACATTTTTTGGCTCTATACACCACACCACCACAATGGATTTGAAATGAAACAAACAAGATGTGCTTTAACTGCAGACTGTCAGCTTTAATTTGAGGGTATTTACATCCAAATCAGGTGAACGGTGTAGGAATTCCAACAGTTTACATATGTGCTTCCCACTTGTTAAGGGACCAAACGTAATGGGACAATTGGCTTCTCAGCTGTTCCATGGCCAGGTGTGTGTTATTCCCTCATTATCCCAATTACAATGAGCAGATAAAAGGTCCAGAGTTCATTTCAAGTGTGCGATTTGCTTTTGAAATCGGTTGCTGTCAACTCTCAAGATGAGATCCAAAGAACTGTCACTATCAGTGAAGCAAGCCATCATTAGGCTGAAAAAAAACAAAACAAACCCATCAGAGAGATAGCAAAAACATTAGGCGTGGCCAAAACAACTGTTTGGAACATTCTTAAAAGAAGGAACGCACCGGTGAGCTCAGCAACACCAAAAGACCCGGAAGACCACGGAAAACAACTGTGGTGGATGACTGAAGAATTCTTTCCCTGGTGAAGAAAACACCCTTCACAACAGTCGGCCAGATCAAGAACACTCTCCAGGAGGTAGGTGTATGTGTGTCAAAGTCACCAATCAAGAGAAGACTTCATCAGAGTGAATACAGAGGGTTCACCACAAGATGGAAACCATTGGTGAGCCTCAAAAACAGGAAGGCCAGATTAGAGTTTGCCAAACGACATCTAAAAAAGCCTTCACAGTTCTGGAACAACATCCTATGGACAGATGAGACCAAGATCAACTTGTACCAGAGTGATGGGAAGAGAAGAGTATGGAGAAGGAAAGGAACTGCTCATGATCCTAAGCATACCACCTCATCAGTGAAGCATGGTGGTGGTAGTGTCATGGCGTGGGCATGTATGGCTGCCAATGGAACTGGTTCTCTTGTATTTATTGATGATGTGACTGCTGACAAAAGCAGCCGGATGAATTCTGAAGTGTTTCGGGAATATTATCTGCTCATATTCAGCCAAATGCTTCACAACTCATTGGACGCTTCACAGTGCAGATGGACAATGACCCAAAGCATACTGCAAAAGCAACCAAAGAGTTTTTTAAGGGAAAGAAGTGGAATGTTATGCAATGGCCAAGTCAATCACCTGACCTGAATCCGATTGAGCAT